CTCCGCGAGCGGGAGCATCCTCGTCTGGACCGGGCACGCGCTGGACGCGCACCCGCCGTACGCGCTGTGCCTGTTCAACGCCGCGATCGGGATGGCGAACGTGCCGCTCATGGCGGGCTCCGCGCTCGCAGTCGTGCTGAAGGTGTGGGGCAGCGTGATGATTGCGTGCCACGTCCGCACGCGCGGCGTCGTGCAGTGGATTATCTGGAAGCCGTTTGTGCGTCGTTTTCTTTGGGGCGCGATAATTGCGATTGGGACTGCCTCTAAAAAGAGTCGTATACAGCTCCTGGCGCTTCCCTACCTCTCGGGACTCCCTCTGTTCATCGCCGGACTTGTTGTGCGTTTTCGGGTTCTTTGCTTTGCTTTGGATGCGATCTAACTTCGCATAGATCGGCACGCGTGACCCCTCAAAGGTCTACCGCGGCTCGCCGCTATACTGCGTAGTGGAGAACGCAGGAGTGTACGCACCGCCGCCCATTCCTCCTTCGCCCAAGCTGATCATACATATCTATACGCTAGCCAAAACACCGCCTCGGCGTTCGGCGCGGCCTACACCTTCTCCTGCCTCGTCCTCTCCGCCTGGACGACGATAAACCTAGTCGCCACCCGCTGGCGCGTCCGCCGCATCATCGAATACCCCGGCGTCTCGTACTCCTTCGTCTGCCGGACGCTGTTTTTCTCCGTTTTCGTCAGCGTCGCTTTTGTGTGCGTCAATCCTTTTCTGTACTCAGCGGAACTGGCGGAGGCTTACTTACTTCCCCCGGACCGCAGAGTCGGCATCCTCTCCCTCGTCTCCACCTTCTCCGCGATCGTCCCCGACGTCGTCCTCTCCTCCTGCGCCGTCGCGGTGTTCTTCATATTCTCCACAGCCAAGGTGCGCGCCGCCGCACTCCCCCTTTTTTATGTCATGCCACGACACTCATCATACTTCATACTTCACACTAAACCATAACACCTAACAAAAACCGTGCCCCGCAGCCCATCATCGACTTCGTCTTCTGCCGCCGGCCCGACGCCGCGACCGCGCCCAACCCCAAGTCGTCGCCCTTCGCCACCACGAGCACCGTCGGGGGCGGCGCGGACGCGCCGCGCGAGCTGCTGCGCGTCGCGCTCAAGGGGCCGTCCTTGTCCTTGTCTGAGCCCGACTACCCCGCGTGGCGGCTCAAGGCGGGCGATGTGGACACCGTCGGGACGGAGACGGAGACGGAGACGGGCGGCACCGCCGAGTGGGGGTACGCGTACCATGGCCACGAGCGGGATGACGAAGGAAGTAGTACGGGCGGCGCGGACGGGCAAGGAGGGGTCAGGCGTCTCGGCGGCGGAGCCATAGCCATAGCCTGCCTGGAGCCTGGAATTATTATACCATACTTTTTTATGTATGTATACTTGGGATATTGTATACAACCGTATGTATGTATGATGATACAATCGCGGCGATGACCATGCGCTACGCGTCCGCGTCCGCAGCGGGGGCTGGTCGAGCAGCGCCTCGGCGGCGCCGGATGGTGGCGAATGATGGCGATGGCCACGCCAGCACTAGCACCGTCGGGGGCGGCGCGCCGCGCGAGCTGCTGCGCGTCGCGCTCAAGGGGCGCACCGCGGGCGCGCCGTCCTTGTCCTTGTCCTTGTCCGAGCCCGAGCCCGACTACCCCGCGTGGCGGCTCAAGGCGGGGGATGCGGACACTGTCGCCGATTGGGGGTACGCGTACCATGGCCATGGGCGGGATGACGAAGGAAGTAGTACGGGCGGCGCGCACGGCAAGGAGGGGTCGGGCGTCTCGGCGGCAGAGCCATAGCCATAGCCTGCTTGGGGCTGGAATTATTATACTATACTTTTATATGTATGTATACTTGGGATACTGTATACAACCGTATGTATGTATGATACAATCGCCGCTACGCGTCCCCCATGGAGACGTCCGCGTCCGCGTCCGCGGCGGGGGGCTGGTCGAGGAGGGCCTCGGCGGCGCGCCGGATGGCGGCGAGCTTTTCGCGCATGATGGCGATGGCTTCGGGGAAGAGGCGTTGTGGGGGGTACGCGCTTTCGGATTCGATGTTGACTGCAAGCACGAGTAGTCGTCAGTATTGGGCAAGTTGAGCGCGAGAGAAGATAAAAAACCAAGATGAACGGGAGAAAAAAACCACACAAGACGGCGAAAAAAACTAGACAAGAAGAAAAACGACACCACGCACACAGATAGAAATCCCGCACGCGGCTCAGCTCGACGTGCCCCTCGAACTCGGGCCAGCGGAGGACCTCGCGGCTGACGGTGTCCTTGCGGGTGTTCTCCTCGTCGACGGTGACGGCCTTTGTGCGCGGGTCGACGCGGATGACGCCGGGGGCGAAGCACTTTTGGAACTTGTCCGCGAGGTGGGGCGGGATGGGCTTTTTGATGACGATGTGCGGGAGGAGGCGGTAGGACGCGGTGGCTGCGCGCGGCGTCAGTTCGAGTCGTTGTTCGTGAAATACACGCACCGACGGGGCTGAACTTGGCGTGGTCCTTGCCCACGCCCTTGACGGCGTGCAGCGTGATCTCGACGCCCTGCCCGGGGCGCAGCTTCGCGAGCACGATGTTCGGGTTCGTCGGCGCGGGCGGATTCTTGCTGAACACCTCGGCCTGCTCGCCCGCGGGCTGCCACGCGAGGTGGCCCGAGCGCAGCTCGTGGTTGTCGTAGAGCAAGTCGGGGTCGGTCGCGTCCTTCGGCGCGTCCTTCTTCCGCGTGCACTCGAGCTTGAGGTCGAACACGAGGGTGTTGCGGTCGGTGGACTCGTCCTCGGCGACGCGCATGTCCATGGTCTTGGGGTCGACGTTGAGGGGGACGAGGCCGATGCGCTGTGCGAGGATCTCGTCGACGACGACGGAGGTGTTGTTGTAGACGTAGACGTTCTCTATGCATATTGTGGGGACCTCTGCGATGATGATGCGCCTGAAGGCGTTGGCGATGGAGGCGTCGACGCCGACGAGGTCAAAGTCGATGGAGCGGTTGGAGACGCGGCGGACCTTGACTGTGAGATTCTGCCCTTGCGGATTGACATCTTGAGCGAGCGGATTGCAATGGAACGGACCTCGCGGAATCTGTCGAGGCTCCAAGCGTGGTCCTCGCCGGGGTAGTGCCCAGGGAAGTCTCTGCTCGACACATCCGTTACGCGCTCAGCCTTGATCCCCACCAGTCGCCGAGAATCGAAAGTCATTAGAATAATTTTTGAGCGTGCAAACAAAGACAAATGAATGCGGGGAAAGTGCGGCATAATAAATAATTTCAAAATTAATTCAACCATATTTTCCTTGCTTCAAGTTCTCGAGTTTAGAAATGAAGAAATGAATTCCTGCCTACATTCCATGTTCAAGACGCTTGTCGGTGAATGCCAGTGAATGCCAGTGAATGCCTCGCTAAACTGCGCAGTCTTGAGCCCCGGTTGGCGGTGATTGTGCACACGACCACCTCATTTAAACTCATCAACCTTTACACGATCTTCTCTCCTCTCCTCCACAATGGGACGCTGGACGCAATACGACGAGGTTCGCTCGACTTTCCACCCTGTCACAATCGCTAATTGTGCTGTACGCAGGACGCCTATCGTCTTCCGGAGGGCATGGTCCGGACGGGATACGACGCGGACACAGGGAGCTACTCCTTCCGCGACCGCAGCGGGACGTACACCGGCGTCCCGGGCTCGCAGTATGGCCCGATGTACCCCGCAGGGACGGACGTGACAACGCCCAAACGCGTCCTGGTCGTCGCTGATGGTGTGTGGTTGTGCGCGCGCTTTAGAGCAGCGATTCATCACCTACTAGATCCGGAGTCGTCCAGGCCGCAAAAGGAGCGGCGAATGACGCTGCCCGACGTGCCGCGCGCGCTTCGCAGCCTGCGGCGATCGCTGACCGGCGTGAGGCGGCGTCGCGAACGGGACCAGAGTAGCTCCGGCACGGGCACGGGCAGCGACGACGAGGAGCCCGTTCTGGTCGAGCGCCCGCTCAGCTTTCTGGTGTCTGCCGACAGCGCGACCCCGGCTGCCGCCAGCCCCAAGCCCTCCAAGCTCAGGCGCGCGCCGTCCAAGAAAACGCGCTCCTCCACGTCCGACGTCCCGCCCCCGCCCCCGAAAGATCGCCCGCGCGCGGCCGCGCACCACTCGCGCTCCGCGTCCACCTCCGCGGCGGCGCCCCGCACCGGGGCCGCGTCGTCGTTCTTGAGAGGCAAGGGCCACAGCCGGCGCGCGGCGTCGGAGCACGTCCACTCCCCGCGCCCCCAGCACCCGCCCCCGCACCTCCCCATCGCCGCGCGCTTCATGACCCGCCCCGACCCCGACGCGGCCCCCGCCGATACCAATCCCAATCCCAATCCCAATACCAAAGACAAAGCCGCCGCGCCCCCCGGCCCCGGCTCGACCCCGACCCCGAAACCGAAACCGAAGCTGAAACGGAAGCAGCCCCCCCTCCCCCCGCCCGACTCTCCGTCTTCGGAGCAGCCGGCTTCCCGTTCGCGTTCCAGGGACGCTTCCACCTCCCGTTCCAGTGAAAGCCCCGGAGCTGCATCCCGCCCCACGCAAAGCAGCACCGCATCTCGTTCCACCACCGTGGCCGCACCAACCTCGTCTTCTTCGCGCATCCCGCGGGCCGTGAGCCGGGCTGTGTCGCTCGCGGTGGCTCCGTCTACATCTACAGCAGCATCAGCATCAGCACCGGCACCAGCACCAGAGCAGCCAAGCCGCACTCCGCGGACGCCCGACCCGCATTAGTGCATACTGTATAGCGGTGTTCTTAGCTCGCGCGCAGCGCGCGCGAGTTGGGTTACCGCCAGGTACTCGTGCGTTCGGTGAGTATCGTTAGTTATGAGGGCGGCTTTGTGTGGGTGAATGGACGGGATTCGGTGGACCTTGTATTATGTAGTCCGTTATGTAGACTGTATGTTTTCCGCTTGTGTTTTTAGATTTCGCTTGCGCGGACCGGTGGGGCAATCCTGTCTTTCCAATGGCAGGGTCTTCTATTCTTACGCCAAAATCCCTCTTAGCTCAGTTGGTAGAGCGCGTCACTAGTATAAGTACTGATTGAAGAATATATGACGAGGTCAGTCGTTCAAATCGGCTAGCGGGAATATCTTTTTCTTTTACTCCTCCCTTCTCTGCCGCGAGCTTTACTCTATACCACCGCCATTTCGCGGAACACAATTCCCTCTTAGCTCAGTTGGTAGAGCGCGTCACTAGTATGGAAAGACTTGAACCATTTATGACGAGGTCAGTCGTTCAAATCGGCTAGCGGGAATCCATTTTTTCTTTTCCTCTTCCCTTCTTTGCCGCGAGCTTTACTCTATAAAGCGGGTAAGGCCGACGAGCGGCAGAGCCCGCTACCAATTTATTAATATAGCTCACGTCGAACTTCTGTGCAAAAAATTAGGTGGCCCACAGTTACTGTATGAGATATATTTTTGATATATTCTTCACACTTGTGTAAAGAATTCAAGGGCAGCCCAAAGCTCGCTCGGTCAATGCTCACGTATCGACCAGCTCGCATTGAGCCGCATTAGTGTCAAATGTACAAATCATTCCAAGATAAGTTCATCCAATTGCCTGACACTAAAACTGGGCAAAGCCCAAGTACTCAGTACCTAGTGATTGTCTGTATATGATTGAAGCTACAAACAGGTACCGCATACACCTGATCACACTAGAACTATTAAAATTGTTCGAGTACGCAACTGAACCATGGGCATTTGTTGAAAATAATTTCCTGAGCAATACAGTGAACCTTTGTATGGACCTAAAAAAAATTGAACCTTGCGCAGTGGCATAGGTGCTGAGGAAATTCCGAGAGAACTTGAGCCTAATATGTCTACTATCCACGTGGTTTTCGTGAAAGGCAACCAGGGTTTGAATTGACGTCACGCAAAACAGCTTGCATGTGTGAGTTGTGGGTTCATTCCGCGAAAAAAGCTACCAAGACTATATTTTTGTCCTCAAGAGTGTAAAGCCCTTTACCTAATGGTACCCGGAATGTTGTGTGATCGGTGTACGTAGGGAGTCAATTGTAACTCTTTATGGAACTTTGATGCAATGCAGGGCAGCAAAGGAAAGAAGAACACATTTTTTAAGACTTTCAAAGGAGTTGAAAAATTCAACCATAGATGAAGAAGAGCGAAATTTAGGGTTAGTTTTGTTGATGGTTGTAGTATGCTTCCGTATTGCAGGTTGTAACTTGACACAAGCAGTGCAAACACCAAATACAGAAATTCAGGGCACCAGCAATATGCAAAAGACTTCTGTCAATAAGTGCTTATCAGCAAGTTCAGAACAGTTTTGGACATGTCTGCCCTAATTCGAAATTTTGAGAGAATTCATGGCGGACAGAACATGCTGGACACGGAAACACAGACACACCAAACAGAGACATGGGCACATGTTACAAGATGACTGAAAAAATATCACGGATTATATTCAAAGAAGTCATTGCAGGTATAGATACATCAGACAGCATTGAAGCAGAGGTAGAGAGACAGCAGCCTGTCAAAGGCTCATTACAGATTCAATGATGGTGCAGAGCTGTAGAATAAATTTCAGTTTAGATCTTGATAGCAACTTACTCTCGGATTGCATCGCCCAGCTGACTTGGGTATCAATGTCCACGATGGGGAGGTTGAGAGCATGGGGGGAAAGTGCTATGAAGCATGCCAGAAGTCGTGCATCATCGAATCGAAACAAGTACTTGTGGGTTTCCAGGGGTCAACAACACCAGAAGAAAAAGTAAGAGATTCATGTGGAAGGGTCTGGCGGCAAAAGAAGAATCAATCTCAGCCAAGAATGCAGTCGTATGGGAGCTCTGAGTAGACCAAAAGATCAATTTGCATAAAGCAGACGGTCACCACAAGGAAGAGTCAGAAGACCAGAAGTAAGTGAATGAGGAGCCTGAATTCCATTCAACAAGATCCAGTTAAGAGTCACCCCAAGATTTTCAGAAAGAGAATTGACGGAGGTGGAGAGTGGTTTATTGCAGAATGCCGCAGAGGGCATGGTGAAGGGATGAGACAGAGAGAGGGGCCATGTCAATGCAACGCCGTTCGGCGTTCGCTGCCCGTGGGTTACGAGACACAAATGATTCACGAAGGGTCTGGACTCGGGTTTTGGCAGACAGTGACGCAATAACTGGTGTACGTGGTGTTCACATGGCAACTGATGGCCGCGTGCGGCAGGGTTGAACTATGAAACAAAAATGACAAATTCATTGCATTGGATTTGGACACTGACAATCTGTACTATAAGTCACTCCGGAAAATGTGATGTCTTGGTGCTCCTGAAGATGCTCCTGATACCATTAGTATATGAACAAAAATAAGAATGCTTGAAATTGTACCTGATATCCAACAAATATGTAGCACTGGAACTGCAACCTGTATGGGAAGTACAAGAAACAGTTCCAGCAAGGGTATGCCGGTGTCTAAACCGGCGACTAAGGGCCGGTTAGTTAGTCTGGCCGTCAGGCCGGAAAAAAAAAAATATGACCCCACCTTCTTAGGGGTAGAAATCACTTCTGAGCATACCTTCATTGAGTTCCGAGAGTTTACGGGCCTCTACACTCTATGCCTCGAACACGGTGGCCGAATTCGAGATTGACGCTGGAAGTGACGTGATCTGTCTAAGTCCGACAACGGCGGCGAAGACGATATTGATGCAGTGAGTGTTTCATTCTGTTTTCGGTGTTCCATTTGACGAGAGGAAAGGATTCCGCACCTGTTGGTCTTACCATCGAGGAAGGTGTCGAACCGGAAGCCTCTGAGCTCTCGGCACTTGGATCGAGTGCACAGGTGCCGGCGTCAGGCATTTTTGTTGAAACCATCTCAGCGGCAGTGAGTCCTCAAGTTCATGGGAATACTATCTCCCCAGCCGTAGAAGAATTGGGACGCAGGAAGCGTAAGCAGACGAAAAGGATCTCGGAGATCTTGCAGCCTGTGTCTGCGGTGTTTGCCTCTCGGATACAGATTCGGGTGTTGTAAAATGCAACCAGAAAGGTTGCGAGATGCAATGGGTAAGCACTTATCTTTATGTGAAATAACTCGCCTTCCTGAAGTTGATCTAGTATCACCTTCTTTGCGATCTGGTGGTCGCTCCCGCCACTTTCACCTGTCAATCGTGTCAGGCTTCATGTCAGCAATGGCCTCTGGGTCGGCTAAACAGCGAGTAACCCGTTGCGAACCCCAACCAGGAGAAACCCGATAGACGCTAGTAGCTCGTGTGTTCCCCGAGCAATAGGACCAGTCGTACGGCGTCCTCCCTAGGAGGCCGTATGTCGTAGGTCGGGATGCGAGGCGGAACCCGGAACGAGTCGAAGAGGGTGTGATATCCACTCAGGTACAAAACCCGAGGCGTGGATACAACCCGTGGTACGGTGCGAGGGAAGCGGGGCAGGGTGGAGACAATGCCTATGTCAAGCCAAGGTAGAAGCCTGAGATTAGACGAGGTAGAATCTACTGTACATCGAGATTCTACCGTGCTTATATAGGCTTCTAATAAATTAAAGCGATCGCGGTCAATCGCGATCAGTTCCTGCAACGTAGCATTAAGGAGCATTAATGCTGATGCTCCTGGACTCCTCTGTGTTGGTTTCCGTGGCGTCGGTGGACCTAGGAGACCCGACGTTCGGGTTTCCTAGTCCTAAGTGTCATCGTCTCCAGTGGTTCAAACCCCGATCGGGTTTGCAACCACTCCTGTACTTCGTGTACTCTCCTGTGTCAGCCCTTGGTGCGTCCGGGGACTAGAGTCCGTCTGTACGGGTTCCTAGTCCCTAACGTCTTCTGTATCCCGTGGCGCAGACTCCCTGAGTCTGCGGCTTTAGAATCCGAGGCCGGGTTTCAACCGTGAGAAGGTCACATGGTGGCGTCATGAGAGTCCCGTGCTGCTAAGACGCGTCTGTATCCATACGGACGCGTCGCGCGAAAAAGTAGAACCTGGGCGATTCATGACACTTCAAGTTCGTCCGCAAGTTCGTTGCACCCTGCAAAGCGTACTCGGAAGTAGGTGGAAAAAATGATTCTGGTTTAGAAGTAGTCAATACGAGGAGATACCAATCAAAACTGCCCCGCAAAGTTGCAAGAAAGCGACCAATGTCTTCCAAACATTAAATGACACCCCCACTGTCTGCCGGCAACTAAAACACGTGATAAGTTACTATATGGGGTATTACGTTAGTTAGTTAGTCCACCCATCGAGCTGCGAAAAAAAACATCGGCCCTAGTGCAGTTTTTTAATTGCCGGGATACCCTTGAGTTCCAGGCCATCTGATATTCCCGATTCCAGCCGCAATTTAGGAGTGACTAATATTGCGACTGATACTCGACATATCAGCGTTGATTTACATGCATCTGAAGATGCCGTAAAGCCGTATCAGCGGCAGTATCAGCCACAGACCTGATACGAGAAGAATCAAGTGATAGTATCAGTCGCGCTGATTCGGCTTTACGGCATCTCCGGATGCACGTAAATCAACGCTGATACGTCGAGTATCAGTAGCAATATTAGTCACTCCTAAATTGCGGCTGAATTGGGGAATATCAGATGGCCTGGAACTGTTTCTTGTACTTCCCATACAGGTTGCAGTTCCAGTGCTACATATTTGTTGGATATCAGGTACAATTTCAAGCATTCTTATTTTTGTTCATATACTAATGGTATCAGGAGCATCTTCAGGAGCACCAAGACATCACATTTTCTGGAGTGAGTGGATGTGGTGTGATAAATGAACTAGATGTGATAAATAGGTTTGCTTGAGCTCAGTTATACTTCAAATCCCTTCGGAAGTGGCCCAAATTAAAGCTACGGGTGTGTCGTACCGGAATATAAAAAAAGTTTGAAGGAAACGGATGAGAACTGACCGAGAACGTGCCCCGAGCGCCTTACCTCAGTTGGTAGAGCGCGTCACTAGTATGGGCGTCTAGAACATCTTACGGTATGCAATGACGAGGTCAGTCGTTCAAATCGGCTAGCGAATCCATTTTTTCTTTTCCTCTTCCCTTCCTGTTAGCGAGCTTCGGTCTATACCCTCACCATTTCATGAAGCACAAAAGTCCCTCTTAGCTCAGTTGGTAGAGCGCGTCACTCGTATGCATATGCGTAGAAGATACTAATGACGAGGTCAGTCGTTCAAATCGGCTAGCGGGAATTGTTTTACCCCTCCTCCTTCTGAATCCAAGTGGTACTGCGATGTAAATCGACGAGCTCACCCACAGCCATTTGACGGACCACCACGGATTTGCCTTCACGCTGTTCAATGCTCTCTCCTTTTCCCGGGCGGATCTCTAACACACCTGACAATGTAAATGAGCGGGTTCGATGTTGGAGCGGTTGGACGCTGTCGTGAATCCACAGCTTTGCGCAGTGCTTGTCCGTGTGGTGCTGTAGTGGTGCTGTCGATGGCAAAGCTTCAGACCGACATGAAAGGGTGCCAGCGGGCCGTCGACGTCTTGTTCCGCTTCAGTGGCCAAAAGCGCGCGCCACAGACTGCTCGACTTCAGCTCCATTTCGCGAGGCGGCCCAAGAGTGCTTGTAATCTTTCCGAGTTGGTAGCAAGTTCGACAAGTAATTGACTACTTCTGGGTCGGCGGTGTACAGTACTTACTCGGGCAAAGAGTCAATCAAGGCCTCGTCCTGGATGGAATGCACGGCTGGTTGGCAGCGGGCGGACCTTCATCTTGATCAACTGCAAAACAGTCAGGGATCCCCCCATTCTTCGGTTCAAATCATCCAAGGATCTTCACAGCTCTCCAAGCATAATGACGAGGCAGTGAGCTCCGCAGTTTGACTTGCCGACTCACCGACTGGATCAGGCTTGCCCCTTCTAATCCAATGTGCACACACTCAAATTTAGCTTGGATAACGATTCGGCCGGCTTGTGCAGGAAGCTTAAATGGAGGATCCTTGGTCCTTCTGATTTTCGTCTCGACTCCTCAACATCTGATAGGACCAAGGTCAACCCTTTCGTTCAGGACTAATAATTGATTCTCCTGAGGCTGGATCAGGTCTGCAGTTACCTTTCTCGACTTTCAGTTACTCTCCTTGACGAAACAAGCTGATAGCGGTTTTACTGAAGCAATTAATTTCTACCCACCGCGAGCGCGCGCAGGAGACTCCGAGGTAAGTCCTGACATTCCGAAATCGATTAATACTGTGCGCAATTCCGTTCCCGTGAGCTGCAGTTCTCACTTGAATATTATTCTTCTGCCCTTGAATTTTTGCCTGACGACAAATTCATCAATGTTGACGCTCCAGGCACTGTCTCACTCGTATATCGAAACTCTCCATTCTTTATTTCAACAGCCACACCGCCACTGCACAGGTGCAGATCATGAATGCATGATAACGGATCTCAACCATGTTCAACTTCCCCACCTTCCTTTCTTTGGCTTCGAGTCGTTCACCGTCGGCGATCCGCTTACGCTGGGGTCCTGGTCGTGTGCCCACTCTGCGGAATTTGTTGTCAGTGAGCCCTGAGCCCTTTCCCTTCTCATTAACTGCTCTCGCCGTCGGGCGAAGCGGGGTGTCAGATGGCCTCCGCGCCAAGCAGGGTCCTGAAAACAGCTGTAGCGGTGGCGGTGGCGGAGGCGCAATGCGGGGGGAATAGGCTTTGGTGCGACAGTATCTGACGGTAAGGGGGATTTAACCTCTCTCTCGTTATTGCCAAGTCGCCAAGTTGAACAGGAACTTGAACACCTTGAACATGAAAGATCAACCGCTCGTTCAATTTCTTTTGGCCTGTAGTCTCTCGGTCTGATCGTTTTTCGATTCAAGGTGGAAACCTCAGTATGTTGCGGAACGCGGGACGCCCAACAGATCGATTTCATGTCGGCGCAGATTTTCACAGGTTAGTACGGTCCGCACCGGCTTGGCGGTGACTCACTGCAGTGCCAGTCGTAAGTTACTGATTTTCATCTGAAGGTTCTGAGCGTTAATAATACAGCGCCGCGCTGATGGAAACGGCGGTCTGGAATCGGAGCAGAAGCTGCGGCTGCGGTGATGTTCAACGTACGTTGTCGGTGTTCATTCAATGCGAACGTCGGCGTTCAAAACAATTTGGCGAGCCGGGGGTACAGCTTTGTCGGCGTTGATGTTATCGAGTGGTACGTATGATATATCTTCCTCGCAAAAAAAACTTGAGATGAGTAGGACCCCGAAAGCCGTGTGGATTAACGCGTTCGTTAATCTTCGAACGGTGCTATGCACGTTCGCCATCGCCCCTGAGGCCTGGGCCGTCGCACGACGTACCGGAAAATTAATTTCGCCCGTTCTAGGTTCCGAGGTGTTATCTGCATATCTCTTGGTTCAACTTCTCGTTATCAACGTGGTTGGCTTTCTGATAGCACCGTCTCTCGAGCTGCTTGGTATTAAGACCACGTCGAGGAACGTTCGCCGGTTCCTTGCCCCAAAAACCTAAACTGCACGCGATCCTGTGAAGGGTGACGCGACGTTCCGTCGGACACCGTCGATGCCCGGGGCTCATCAGAGACTCCGAAATCAAGTAACCTTCGTTTGTGGGTCCAGGCTCCACGAGGTGAGTTCGCAGTGGTCCGATCGAGGTCTGGAAGGTGGTGATGCGAGATTCGATCCTCGGTCGAGCATCAGGAGGGTTGCAATTGAAAATTCGGAATTTGTTGAACCACCTGGTTTGTGGGTCCAACAGGGGAATTCCATCGCTGGTAAACTCCGGAAGGTTTTGACCGGCTTCAGGCTCTTGTCTACATGGTCTAGGCACAAATCGAAAAGAAGAAAAAAACAAGACAAGGACGCCACTGTAACGGTGATACCGGCGAACTTCCTACTTCATTCCACCTTTTTAAGACTTCTGTCAGCCAATACAGTCAGGCACATATACACGCCACAGACAGCGAGCGGAGGAAACGCCGCGTGTCGCCAGTGGCGACGATCCGAAGTGCAAGGATTGAAGAAATAATTGGAAGCACGTTCGACGCGTAGAACATATTCCTACAGAACCACGTTCGCTGTTCAGCCGTAGAAAAGATGTACGAGGATATTTACGGGAACAACCGCAGAGATGTCGCGACCCTGCGGCTGGGTGGCGGAACGCCAAGAACGATTGTGGAGTATCATAATTTCGTCGCCTGTACATGTCGAAGATAAGCGAACGCCGCTGTTCAAGCTGAAGATACCAAATTTGAAACGTTAACAAACGCGTCGAGCGTCGACGTCGAAAGGCCCCCTAGCCGAATTGTCCTTAGACTCTGAACGGGTCGAGGTTTTAAACAACTTAGGGAACGGACGCCACGACATTGATATCAGCCCAGAACATTGTTTTAATTTCCGTCGAAGAAGGCACCGCGCAACTCGGGAAAGCCAGCCTGGGATTTGCCTGCGATTAGGTTCCGCTGTCATCCGGTGATCTACAAACCATCGTTGTCATCGATGTGGCGGGATGGGAATCTGAATCTTGTCTGAATCTAGACTCGTAGATGGGAAGACGCAATGCAACGCGGTGTTGGCCCCGGCGTAGCACTACTTATACGGCGCACGTTCGATCCCGCATCGTCGCCGTCGTCGTGGAGCACGTAGATCTGAACCCCGAGTCCCCCGTGGAGAATACTAGTGCTATACTTACCTCCCGAGAGATATGATATCTGAGCGGACAAAAATGAGATGATAGTAGCATGCATGGACCAAGAGAATAGGCTTCCACGGCGATAATCGCGGTTCTATTCCGTTCGAAGTATGATATATCATATAGATATGACATACATACATACTTTACCGAAGTCTCCGAAACGCAGGATTTGCTTCCGCAGCGGAGAAAACGTGTCGACTATGAATTGATTTGATCCACGCTCTTATCGATAGCCCGAGTCGATGGATACATAGTACGTAGGGACCAGGGTACAGTAGGTGATGGATGGACGATGGATCACTGTTGGCCCCGGCGTACAGTTGAGAGCGGGTACTTATCATATTGCGTACACAGACTCCGATTAGTGGAATTGAGAAAGCCACGTTTGCTCGCTTGGGGTGCTGTTATCGCCTACCGCTTGGATAGAAGCGGGCCCGGGACCTGCGGGATACTCCGAGGGAGGGCTTGGCGCGGTGAGAAGTCTAAATGGCCACAGCCGAGTTTTTTTTTGGGCGCTAATAAAATGGTGTAGTTGGTAGATAACGCAAATCATTGATAATTGAAGTGAGGTGAGGTGTTGGGGATATTGGGTATGTGCTCAAGTCAAAGACCGGTTTCTGGATGGCCGTACTGGGAGTATCTCTGCAATGGGATGGCATGGCGTCGCGAAAAGGTAGGAAAAACTTACTTCCCATAAATTGAACTCTAGTGATCGATCCGCGGCCTACAAGCGAAGATGCGTGCGTGCGCCGAAACAGACATACAACAAGGCGCAGTGCGTCTCCTTTTCCATCTCTCTTCAGAACCTGGAGCTTCGAGGTCTGAAGTTTGAGTTAATCCGTGGTTGAAGCGCTGCAAAGCGTGAGCCGCTCCGATTCCGAGGAGATGTTGGATGGTGGGAGAGGCGGAGGGAAGGCGGTGTTGTCCACAGACAGACGATTGACAGAATTAAAAAAGAGAGTATCCGAGGGCTGGCGGTTCGGAAAGGCAAATCGTACGCCGGGGAGGTGTCAGACTCAGAGTCGGAACATTCAGATCATGATGCATGAGAGGCCGTGTGGGCTACGTATCCCTGTGTATTTTTGGAGAACTGTTGAAGAATTATTCAGCATCGCACGTTCGCATGCCAGAAGACACGATTACTGGGGCTGCTGGTAGTTGAGGCCTCGAGGACGTCCAGCGTGGGAGAATTTGGCCGCAGCCAACACATACTTCTGTGGGCGTTGCAAGACAGATGGACAAGTTGTTGTCAGGAGCCAGAGATCCGCGTTTGAACTTGAAGAGTGCGGTGTTTTTGAAGTCTGTGTGCGCGAATGTCCGTCCCCAGCGTGTAGAGATATACTGGATGTCGAGGTAGAATTTTGACTGATCGAGTACGGGCGGGCCCGTGATTCTGTCGCGTCGGCGAATGCCGCCCGCCACGCGAGCGCGCCGACTAGTCCTGTTCTGGACTTCGGTCTAAGCGGTTAGCCAGATGGAACGCCGGGGATGTCTATGTACGCGAGTACGTAAGCGCGCCTAGCCGGGTAGCCGCGTAGTAGTGAGTCACCAGGGCCAACCTTGGCAAAGGTTGATGATAGTAGTCAGCAAAGAGAGCAAAGTCGGGACGCACCCGACGTGGATGCATACGCGCGTCGTGCGGCAGCGCACTTGGGTATTACGGGAACGGAGGATATTGATGATCGGGTGCGTCGAATACAAGTTAGTACATTTCTACAGGAGTCCAACGGCGGAGGCGGTGGCGGGCTCCGAGGCAGCTCTGTGGAGTGCTGTTGTTGGCCAAGTGTGATGGACGGTATGGAAGTTGAAGCTGCCGACTTGAGGTGCATATATTGTGGCCTGTCTGGCCCTCTGAAGGGAGCTGTAGAGCTCAACAATGTACATACCAGAGTGGGAATGCCCCGGCGAAGGAATACGTCAGCGATAGGGCTGAATACCGGATATTGCGCTTGGCGGACTCCTGACACCGCGATTCATTGATGCTACATGTAAATTCCATCTTTCATCTCGCCGCTTGCTCTACGCTTGCTCTCTGCTACGATGCTGCTCTCCCCGCCGCAGTCCATCCTGCTCAGCCCGTCCACAAACTCCCTCTCCAGCTCCGCCAGCGCATCCAGCGACAGCGGCCGCTCCAGCTCCTCTTCTCATACTAGTCACAGCCACGCCAGCATGCACCGGCCTACAAAAATACGTTTCGCCCCGCTCCCCGACCCCCGCAGCCTCGATGACGACTACGTCGAGCTCACCATCCCCGACGACGTGCCCAGCAAGCCCCCGCCCTCGCCCATCCCGCACCTCCCGCCGTCTCCCGCCCCTGTCGCGTCCGCCCCGCTGCCCCCGCTGCCCCCTACACCCACACCCGCGTCGACGTCTGCCGCATCCACCCCCGCACCCGCCCCGCCCTCCGCCTTCCACGCGCACAAAAGCGGCACCTGGCCCAAGCCCAAGAGCCTCCTGCGCCCGTTCCGCCGCGGCACCACCCCCCGCGTCCTCGACCGACAGCCTCACACCCACGCCCTCGCTCGAGCCCGAGCAGCCCACATCGGGCGCCGGCCCCGGGTGGGGCGCATCCCTCCAGCGGTGGAGCAGCGGCGCCTCTGCGACGAACGGGAGCCCGCTTGCCCGGACACAGAGCCAGGTCTCGACGACGAGCACCGCCGGAACGAAGAAGCGCGGCCGGTCGCTGTTTAGCATCGGTTCGTCGAGCAGCGGGGACGGGGAGGGCGGCGGGAAGAGTAAGAAACGGAGCAGCAGCGTCAACTCGACGCGCGTGCCGCCCGCCCTGAACCCGTTTGCCAACTCGCTCGCGCTTGGGGAGAAGAAGCGGGGGACGCGCATGTTGAATGGGCGCGTGTACGGCGGGAGGGGTGCAAATGGTGAGTTTTTCTGTCCTCCGTATTTGTTTCTGGGTCTGCTTTGGGCAGCTTTTCCCTGGGTTTCTTGCCTGCTATCTCTGCGGGCTGGCCCGCCACCCCTCGTCCCACTCTGGCGTCCCTTTTTTACGTCCCACCTTGCTGCTTTCATTTCCTTTCCTTTCATAGCGCTACTGGCTCTACTCGCTTCGCCGGACGCGTTCTTAGGGCTTTCATTGCCATATCCATGTCCATACCCTACCCTTCCTTGTATTCTACCCGCCCGGAATTATCTTACCCGCATATTTCCGCCCCCTGATCCCGTGCCCGTGCATTCTACCCACCTCTCCGTGTCGACCCTCTATATGATATACGATAACTGACCGACTATCTCTCCAGGCGCAGGTGCCAACCCCTTTGCGACCGCGCGCGACGACGAGCCCGAGTTTGTCGAGTGGGGGTACGGCGGGATGGGCAGCGTGAAGAACGGCCATGTCGCGTGGAAGGGCGTGCAGGGCGGAGGGGGTGAGTTTTTTGTTTTATCTTTCTCTCTCTCTTGTTTTTCTTTTTCTTTTTTGTTGTTGGTGGGGATACGCTTTGCGGGTTTGTGTTTCTGGGATGGGGATGGGGGAAGGGAGAGAGGGCGGGACGGACCTTTTTTTGCGACGACACTTCGGCTTCGATCCTTTCTGCGCGTCGCTTCTGGACATGCGCCTGAACGGGCTGGACGGGCTCAGTTTTCGGAGGCGAAGGCGCGGGGAGGGGTAGGAGAAGTGTGCTCCCATTCCCGCGTTTTGTATGGCTTTGGGCCCGCGCTCGCGTTTGGCCCTTTCTTATTTGGTTTTCTCTCTGTCTCCACATGGTTTTGTTGGTGCGCATTCTAACACCATGTTGCATGTAGGCTCGAAACCTGCTGCGAACGGCACTGCTTCCGCCGCTTCGACGAACGGAAAGGCGAACGGGCACACGGGCGCGGTGGGCATGGGCGTCGTGTCTTCTAACGGGGCGGACGACGACGACGACGGGAGCGGGATGGGGTGGGTGCGGCGGCGGAGGGAGGCGCGAGAGAAGAGGGAGCGGGAGGAGCGGGAGGCGGCAGAGGCGGCGGCGGCTGCTGCGTCGACTTCGGACAAGGAGAACGAGAACGAGGGCGGAGAGGAGAAGAAGGAGGGAGATGGGGGTGGGGGTGGGGAGGGAGAGAAGGGCGGGGACAAGGGGGTACACGGACACGGGGAGGGAGAGGCGCAGGGCGGAGAAGGCGCAGGCGGGGAGGGGAGGGACGACGGGAGCGGGACACCGACGCCGACGGCAGACAAGCCGGGGTTGACGGCGCTCGTTTCGCCTTCTTCATCCATGACCGCGTCTCCGCCGTCGACATCACCCGCCCCCTCACCCCCCGCACCAGCACCACCTGCGCACGCCTCGTCGCCCTTCCAGTCCCCCGCGTACTCCGCACCCGGCACACCCGCAATCCCCGGCCTGCTGCCCCCCGCGCTGTCCACCAACAACTCGACATCGGGGCACTCTACGGCGTCCAAGGACGAGGAGCACGTGCTGCGCGCGGTGAACCTGCCGGCTGGGTTCCGCGGGCACCATCACTCGCACTCGCACAGCCATTCGCACTCGCACGGGCATGCGCACGGCCACTCGCGGAGCGCGTCGAGCTCGGCGGGGGCGTTGGCGCTGGCGGCCGCGGGGCCTGAGGTGCCGGCGATTAGCGTTACGGGGGCGGGCGCGGGCGCGGGCTCGAGCTCGGGGTCGTCGAGCTCCAACTCCAACTCGGATTCGGATTCGGAGAGTGATTCGGACAGCGAGGATGAGGACGAGGGGCCGAAGGAGAAGAAGCAGAAGGGGGGAGAGAAGGGTGCGCGGGGGCCGGGTGGAGAGGAAGAAGAAGAGGAAGAGGAGGATGACGACGACGATGATGAGGACGAGGAGGAGGCGGAGAAGCGGCGGGTGACGGCGTTGGGGGCGGGGGTGGAGAAGATCAGTCGGCACAAGGAGTAATGCGCCCTGGGCGCAAGCGACTCCGACCGGCCGATCTCTGCAGACGTACACACCTGGGGCAGACGCACACACAAGAGGAGACTCAGAGCAGGCCCGCTCGTTTCTCCGTCCACACCGACACGCACCTGCTGTCTCGCCTCGCCTTACCTCCGCTTTAAAACCGCACGGACGTCGATGTGGGTGGGCTCCCTCGGCCCACACATCCGGAGCGCCGACACTGCCCCTCCCCATCCATCCATCCACTCCTAGCCCACACGCCCGACTCCGAATATACCGCGCAAGATACCGACCGACACCGATACCACATACCACATACCACCTGCTTGATTTCGAAGCTGAAGCTTGAAGCACCCCCACACACCCCACTCGAAAAAAGAGTAGTTTATATTCGTTTTATTGGTGCGCACGCTCCCTTCTTCGCCGCCCCGCGCTAGAATCTGAGCTGTTTCTCATAGCCGCCCTCCCATACATACACACCACACACCTGCATACATAGCATACCTGCACTCTGCCCGTCCCGCCGCTAGCCTACATCGTTTTAGTCCTTGGTCCTATCCCCTTTTTTAGTTTCTTTTCTTTCATTCTGGGTCTTGGGTTTCTGGTCATCTCATCTCATTTCTTCTTCTCGTTGGACTTTTCGTGAGTTTTGAGTCTCTGTCAATGTATGTACAACTACACAACACTACTGCGTCCGGAGATCTGAGGTCTGTGAAGACCTCGAAATGGACGTGGAATAAAAAGAATTCCCGCTAGCCGATTTGAACGACTGACCTCGTCATTAACACTTTACAATTTCCAACAGATACTAGTGACGCGCTCGACCAACTGAGCTAAGAGGGATTGCAATTGGTGAAATCGCGAGGGTATATACCAAAGCTCGCTAACAGGAAGGGAGGGGAAAAGAAAAAGGAATTCCCGCTAGCCGATTTGAACGACTGACCTCGTCATTACATGAGAGTATTGGGTCAAATACTAGTGACGCGCTCTACCAACTGAGCTAAGAGGGATGCATAATTATTTCTAGCTGATTGACTAGGCCGACAAGAGGTGTGCAACTCGACTAAACAACTTACCGGCACATCTTCCGAACCCCACCTTCAAAATGGTCCATACGAAACGCAAACGCGGAGGCGCAGATGCAACCTCACCGACCTCCCCACCGAAGAAAAGGACGCGTCGCGTCGCGAAGCAAACCACAATCCCCGTAATCAACGTGGTGCAAGATGATTCAGACATGAGCGACGCCGTTCAGGTCGTCGCACCGCGCAAGGGGCGGAAGCCGAAACCCTCATTGGAAGAGTCCGACTCCTCACCACCCCCGAAGAAGAAGAAGAAGGTGGTGGCAAGCCGAGGGTCTGACTCTGACGCGTCGGACGCGGTGGGTTCGTCGCGCAAGCGCCGGATCCAGCGTAAGGTACAGTCAGATTCGGATGAGGAGGATGAGGGGCCGAAACGGCTGCGACGCGTCCGAAAGCCTTCGCCTTCGCCTATGGATGCGGAGAGCGACTCTCCGCCGAAAGGGAGGCTGCGTCGCAAGTCTGATTCCGACGATGGCGTCAAGGCGTCGACGCTATTGGAACTAGACTCCGATGAGGATCCAGAGGATCTTGAGCGTGTGTTGATTCGTTCTCTACTGATTCAAGCCGTGATCTTCCTTAGTACCCGTCCAGCCGACTTCCTCCAAGCCGACCAAGAAGGATCTCAGGTCGAGCGCACTTGCGCGGTACGCCAAGGCCCGGAAGAACAAGTCGTCGCCTGCACCTGTCCCGGCCGACGCCGGTACCGAAGAGAAAGAGAGGGAGTTCACCCCGTTCTCAGATGCGGAGGAGGGTGGATTAGAGGACGTCGCTGAAGAAGAGGAAGAAGGGGAGGCGGACGACGCAGAGGATACCTTCATCGTCGACGAGGACGATGGGGACGCCGACGCGAACGCCGCTCTTGACCGCATGCGCTACTCGAGCCGCCAACTCGACGAGCATTTTGCCGTGTTCGTCGAGTACATCATCGCGCTCCATTCCGATCCCGACTATCTCTCGACCGCGACCGAGGACGAGAGTAGGTGCCCCATCTCTCTGTTCCAACCCTTCGTTGACCCACTTCATTAAGAGGAATATTTCGACACGGCGGTAAAAGCTATGCGGCGCCACCTCGACCCCCTCGCAGATTCGATGACACTCTCGACGTGGAAGGCGCCGTTCATCGCTACGCTGAACCTGCGGCCCGTCCTGGCAGACGGCCTTGCGACCGAAAGTACAGGTGACTGCCACGCTTGCTGGACCCGCGGCATGTACGCGTGCGATCTCGTCGAGGCGTACACCATCTCTACGCAGAAGGGTATCTACGACCACGACACGTTCGAGGTCCGTATCTCTCCTAGAACGAAAGTCGACGAGTATGCATATTTTTGCGTTTGCAGACCAAGCCAGAGAAGAAAATCAAGTACGGCAAGGCGACGCAGTTCGAGAACAACGCGGAGGCGCGCAACTTGCCGTACCCGCCCGGCTTCCAGCTCGTCATCGGACAACGGTGTTTTAACCGTGCCTTGGCCTAGTTCGTCCTCCTTCCCAATCCTTTTCGAAATAAACAACTTACGGATGGTACAGCCACGACGTGCGACACTACTTGTACACCTTATCCGTCAAGGTGAAGGAGAAGATCCAGAGCCTATGCGAGGACGACGCGGAGCTCGAGAACGATCCGAATAGGCTGCTCGAAGCTATGAAAGAGGAAAGTTTCATCGAATATGTGAGCATTGCGTGTTCCAAGTCGCTTGTGGACGTCATCTGATTATGCCCTAGCTTTGGGGACGCTTCAAGTCTGATAAAAAGCAGTGGGCGATATGGTCAAACCGGAAAGATCACGATTCGCTGGTGTGATTATTCGATATTCGCTTACTTCTCTCGATATGTTTTCTTGGTTGTGGAACCAATGTGGCTTACCAGAAATCAGGTTCCTGTCCATGTGTTGTTCTGAAATATCATGTCAAATAAAGAAGACCTGCTTGTTGTGACATCTGACTCAGATACCGAACACTCTTGGCCAATGACCAGTCAGAGGAGGCATCCACGCAACTGGGGTACCTCCTGTGTGCTTCCTGCACATTGTAGATGGACCGCTTCCAGGGTGGTCGATGCCAAGACACTGACCAAGACATTACTCCAACGTTCACTTGCTGTTATTCTCAACCTGCCGCCTCCTCAAGCGCAGTGGCGCGCACTTTCTGTGACTTATGAAGCTCAACCTATCCACTTGAACGGATTCTTTCTCAGTGCTCGACACGATTCTGAACTGGATTGTCTAGAACACGACTCTCCTGTTCTCCCCATCTCCTCAACAAAGGACTCAATTCGTTGTGTGCCCCCCTATCTTCGACGAAAATGTTAGACAGGAACCTATTCATCGCTCCCCTCTCGTACTCCACTTAAAAGTATCGAGACGCAACACGCTCTCCTCCTCCCCCTGCACCTCCAAACTCGTTTTCCTTGCGCAAATATGGGTGCTCTGGATCTTGGATTTGGGTGCGTTGACGCGTTTTTCTCTCCCTGGACCGACATACTGATCGCAAAATAGTACTTCACTGATCGGCTCTTGGCTGGCGTCAATTCTCTGCGGAATAGCCTATGCGCAGGCTTTCACGTACTTCTCCAACTTCCCAAACGACAGCTGGATCAGGAAGGCTCTTGTGATTGCCAGTATTCTGTTTTCACTTGTCGGATTGGTCGGGGCCTATGCGGACGTCTATTTCGTGCGTCTTGCTTTTTTTCTTCCTTTTATTTTCGAGTTCTAACTTGGTTGTTTCCGTAGCCATGCGTCACCTTCTGGGGAAACCCGAGCGCCCTCTTAACGGAAACCTGGGCTGTCCCGATGTATAGCGTGGCTAACGCAATGCAAGCACTGACCGTCGATTTATATCTTATATCCCGTTTCTACTCTGTAAGTCATCCCCTCCTCGTCTGCTGGAACCTTTGGCTCAACCGTCCCTAGATCCAAAAACATCTTCGTGTCGCTCCTTTTGGCCTTGATCTCTCTGTTTGCAGTATGTGGTTTTTTTACTGACCGCGTCTTGATCCGATTGTTCTTCTACAGTTTGTTATGGCTTTACTTGCTGTTTTTTCTCTTCCCGGGGATCGAAAATGTAGGCAATTATCTCCTGCCGTTACGAGACTTTCAATAACCGCAAATGCAGTTCGACAAGGTCAAGCCTATCGTGTACATCTGGGTCATAGCGGCCGTGGTCGCCGGTGTGTTATGCTTGCATTTTAGACGTGATAAAGGGCTCAGCCATTGCGATTAGATGTCGCCATTGCGACATGCCTCGTCTGGACACTGCAAGCAATGAAGACGAATTTCAAAGACACTAACCGGTGGGTGGATTATTGCAGCCAGCGAACGTGATCACTGACCATTCTGTTCACAGACTTATCCGCCATGTCAGTATCATCTCGATTCAGAATGGTTTGGCCACTAGCATTTGTGCGATTGCGGGCACGATCGCAACCATCTTCAAGATTCAGAGTAACGGTGCGTTCCCTAAAAGCTAACAAAGTAACTCGAGCTTACTCTCAAACCCCAGTTCCCGCTGTGTTCTTCTTCCTTCTCAGCCCCCTCTACCTCATCACTTTGCTCTCCAACTTCAATTTGCGCGGAAACGGCAAATTGGGGAGCAGGACTTGGTCGTCGAGCAGGAACAACAACACAAACGTTCCGAACACTAGCATCGTCATTAACGGAATCCGTATGTCTCCTGCATCTCCTCCTGCAAACGATAACTGATGGTGGGCTCAGACGTGCAACGGTCGGCGATCGTGACGGTGGACGCTACAACATCAGAAATCGATATGGGTACCAGCAAAAAGGTAGGCAGGCTCAACTCCTTACTACCTTTTTTCTAATGCGTTTTGGGATCGCAGCAAGACGATGGTGGCGATTATTCGAATTCGGAGGCTTTCCGCGGGCAGCCCTTCGCTCCCAACTGATTATGCCGAGGTTTTGGTGGTTTTCATACTACTATGGGGCTTATAAGGTTGACATTTGGATACCCCTTGTATTACCTGCTGTATAACTGAGATGGATTGTGGATATCTTGCACAATTTTTCGAGGAAACAATCAAATGTCTACCGTTTCGGCAGACTCGGTATTATCCGGCCGGTGATTTGAACTTGAAAGCAGCACTCGTGTGCCTTCCGGGCAGGCTTCGGCATTACAATTAACCTGCGCTGCTTTGGTTGCCCCGGTGCGAGCTTCCCATAAACATATACTATTTTTGTGCACATGGTAAAGTAACTTCCGGCAACCGGTTCACTCTTTTCCGACCCACCATGTCCGTTATTCTCTATCGGTGAGTAGTTGTAGTGCTTTGGTGCTCGGTGCGCAACTTAACAGTTGAGAATCCCAGTTACGATGCCTCGCCATTCAGCGTCAAGGTAATGCGTCCACTCCTCCTCGGCCCATGCACATCTCATGGCCCCGTAGATTGACAATATTCTGCTCCTCAAAAACATACCCCACGAGAAAGTTAATGTGTGTGAAATGAGAGTGCATCTGGCGGTCTTCAAGACCTGCGTTCAATAGGTTGCAAACATGCTGCCTCGCCCTGAAATTACCGACCTCCTTGGCGTCACTTACCGCCGTATTCCAATTCTAGCCATTGGTAACGATATTTATTGCGATACAAGGTAACTGCCGCTCTGTGCTGGGCTGCATACCATGTAGACTTCACACTCCAATCCCGCAGTCTCATCGCCTCGGCCCTCGAGAGACGCTTCCCAACCTCACAGGGTTACGGGACTATTTTCCCGAACAAGAAACACGGAGGGAGCGCAGACACTGGTCTCCTCAAGGTCTATATGGCTACTGCAAATAATCCCATTTTAATTGACTTGGCACCAGGCATTCGCCAAATATTGGGCAGACACAGTCTTGTTCCCTCTAGCGCCACTTCACCTGCCCTGGGACAAGTTCCCGCCAGCATTCATCAAGGACAGAAGCACGGTTCGTCCCTTTGAG